CGAAATACTATTAATGTCACGGTCACCAAGTGAGCGCATTCCATTCTGAATTTTTTAATTCTGTGGCAGTTAGTATGGAGGGATTGCTGATTTCAAGTTTCCCATCTGTAGGTCCAAGTTCTACAACGGCTTGGGTTGCTTGGTCATGAGCTCAGCTTGGGGGTTGATTAGAGTAGTGAGGATCGAATTTCGTAGTGCAGTTATTTGTATCCTTGGGTCTGGCGTGCTTGAAGGTAGTGTGCCGTGTTGAGATGGGATACTTACTTAGGGGTTAATAGCACGTGATCGCGTTGATTACCACAACTCTAATCCCTTCAAGGCCTTGGCTTCTCGCCACCATGAGCCATCCTCAGCAAACCATATTTTCGCACCTGAAGAACCTTAACGCACTCGCAATCAACACTCTCGGCTCTTTCTTCTCTACTGCTGCTAGTGACAATGAGGACGACGAAACGATCTTGAGCGACGAAATCTGGGATCCCGCTTCTGAATTTCACGCGCGCGCATATACACCTACTCTGACTCCGGCTCGTGAACACTTGTTGAAACTCTCTCGATCTTGCTCTATTAGTACCAGTGACTATGATGATATCCCACTTGAAGATCTCTCGCGAACTACTTTCTCGGATGACACGCCGCCTCTGACGCCTGCAACTGAACATGAACATTCTCTTAAGATTCGTTTGGGAAAGCGACCTATTCGAGAAGTGGTATGTCTTGCGTTTTGTATATGCGCACGCGCCGCTTACCTGTACTCAGAGGGAAGACGAGGACGAATGGGACGGCTTGGAATACACGCTTGAAATGAGCAGGCGAGCTTCGAGTGGGTCAGCCGGGGAAAACTCCCGGGTATGTGAACGCATATACGCCTCCTTGCACCTATTCATCCTTTGTGTAGAGTCGCGAGTCGTGGGCAGCCCTCCAAGATGATTCGGACGAGGTGGCGTACAAAGAATGGCAGCAATGGCGTACGTACCTCGACTACCGCCGGGCGATTGAGTACGATGCACACTCGACGGACATGGCATGGTGGTATGTTGAAGAGAGAGCATTGTGGGACGTGTGTTACTGGGAACTGGTGAGTTTGGCCTATATTGATCCTAAGCGTTCTTTGAACGAGCGAATAGGACGAGTATGGCTATGTCAGTGAGGAAGTGAAGGAGCGCCTGGGACAATGTCCTCCGGATCCGTATTACCCTAGACGAGAGAAGAATCTTGGGTGGTGCTTGAAGAGGTCGAGGTCGATTGGATGCTTGAGGGAGCTAGAACCTGTGGTTTTGTGAACCTATGGTCTTGTAAAGAAACTGCATTGCAACGTAGAATACGACATGGTATTGCCTGCTAACCGTTAGAAAAGTCGATAAATCAATTGTACAAAATACACACTTAAATCCGCCTCATCTTCTTCGCCCTCGTCCCTCCAATTCTTATCGGAGTCCGGTCCGTCATATACAAGATTCTTCTCCTCACCGCCTCGCCCTCTGTGCTCGCCAGCGTCTGCACAAGCGTGTTCCTCCCGAGCCCAAAGCCCTTCAGAAACAGGTGCACATAAAACTCTGTACCCTCCGTCGCCGCCAGGATCCTCTCAAATATCTTGACAGACGCAGCGTACGCGCCCTCGGGTGAGCCTCTCCGGGTGTTTTTGAATCCACATGAACCTGCAGAGGCCCATGCCTTGACACAGCCATCTGGGGCGGTGAAAGTGAGGAGGGTGTTGTTGGGGGTGGCTTGGCAGTGTAGACGGTATACGGGCCAGTTGCGGCGGTCAACGGGGTCAAGGGGCGTTGTAAGTTTTTCTCTATTAGAAGGGGCTGAAGGTGGTTGACTGGTGTCGATGGCGGAAGGCGCGGGAGGCGCAGATTTTGAAGGGGCGGAGGCGGAGGCGGCAAGGTCAGCATTAAGCTCGCCAATGACCGAGTCCATGGTGTGCTTCCCGCCGCCACCGACGACGGAGCGGGTTTGTAATGCTGCTCGCGGTAGTATACGGCGCAGAGCAAACATGAAAATTCTCGATTAGGTAACTCAATCTTTACCCTCTTTACCCTTCCACCATGTCGGTATGTCCTGACTTTCTCTCTCTCTCTCAATAATTTTAGCCACTGACTCCGCCTTGGATTAGTTCTCGACTACGCTGTATAACACTTTCTTCAAACGCAACAGTATGTCTCGATTGCCTTTGACCGCCCTTCGACGCTGACCTGGATAGGTGTGTACGTCGCCACTGTATTTGCTGGCGCTTTCGGATTCGGTATTGGGTTCGACCTTGGCTTGGACTCTTTCTATGACCGCTGGAACAGGGGGGTGCGTCCTCGTTCTTTCTATTCTCTTCTTTACATGGGCTCAACCCCCGACGTAGAAACAATGGAAAGATATTCGTTATAAATACGTTGAAGCTGCCGAAGAGTAGATCCATCCCTGTCTATCAAATTTGAAACCAACGACAGCGTTATTTTGACTGGGACTTGAACTTGAGAGACTTGACGAATGGGAAGCTGCTTATTGGTGGGAGCGGGAGAAACCGGGTTGCTTCTACACAATATCTACATTTCACGCTTCTCTTCACAGTTGACGACATCCTTCCAGATCATCTCGCGTCGTTGCTCACCGTCGTCGTCCGTGAACAAAAACTCACTCGTTCATAATTTTCAGTTTCTCTCCCCGGTTTGTCGTCGTCGCAAAGGATCACGATGCTTTGAAGCCCTTGGGAGGCAAGCGTAGTAAAACTATCGGGTGTGTGACCACTTGACTTACTGGTGACATTCAGTGCTGTCCATGTCAGGTCCAACAAAATTATGATAGTACTGAGTTGCATCAGAGGTAGCACCTATCATATATACGATCATGACTCCCAATCTGTCTTTTCGTTGCAAGATCCATCGCCGGAGCACGATGCAGCTGTAGAGCAGTTCAAAGGCGCCTTCGGGCAAGGATACATAGATCTGTATAACAGCAAATCCTCCATGCCGCTTATCTGGATTCGAGATCACCTACACATGTCTGGGTCGGTCGAGTCTACATAAAATCAAGCCTGGTATTGGGAGAGAACACGACTCGAAAAGTGCTACAGACTGTTCCCGAAGCTGTCAAAGGATATCGGCGTTTTCGAACAGCTCAGGGCGCAGCAAGGGGAAGGCCCTAATTTTGAAGAAAGCGATGAAGGAGAGATGGCGGAAGATGATGATGCGATTCGCTCAACAATCCGAAGAAGTGAAAGATGGGATCCTGGTCGATGGCTGCTAGATCGAGTTTCGAAATACACCCAACTTTTGTTCTTTGACTACAATGAGGATCGATTCTATTCTATTCCTTTAGCACAAAATGAGGATGGGCTGCAAAAGTCTTGTATGCCTCCCGATCCAACGAGTTTAAAGCTACTCGTTTATCGGTCTCTATAGTCTCTATGAGTGCCTCTGATAAGGAGTGAGCGATAAGAGGGTATGAAGAAGAGTGAGTTAGGCGTACCCATAGTAGTAAAATCCAACTCGGGGCGTATATATCCAAGGACGACAGCTCTAAGTTCCATGCCGTAAAAGTCGGCGGTGTACTCGTGCATGACGTGGATCTCCTACTGGACGATGAGGAGGACATAACGGAGACAGAACAAAGCGTACAGCAGTGAGACGCTCATTCTTGTAGAACGGGTTCCAGCCGAGACTCATCACCATTGGCCATACCTTGTTTGACGGTGCATCCGGGACCTGGGCGTAACCATAGTACACTCCTGGCTGAGCTACTGAGCTGATCGCTTCTATTGCTTCATCGGGGAGGTTGGCTGCGAGGGATTGAGTCAAGGAAGAGCAAAGACATATGTAATATTACCTGTAGGACAGTGGAGGTCCTTGCCTCCACGTCCAAATCCATGTTGCACTGCGCCACTGAGTAGGATAGGAAACGGAGGCTGTGGTTCATCGGGACCTACGATGAAGGGACGACTATCACGAAAGCCGTCTGTCTGGAATTGTGCAGTAGGACGAGCAGTCATCAGTCAAGTCTATTTTAGGATTACTTTTTACTCTTGACCACGATGATACCAGCGCCGGTACCTGTAAATCCATACTCAGTCTACCAATCCGCTTATCCTACCTATTACCCTTATAACACAGCCTCAGTCACAGCTCCTCAACAACAGTTAGAGCCATCCCCTCCGTCCCCCGTACCGCCCGCCGTATCCGCCGCAGCCGCCTCCGAAACTACCCAGCGTCTCGTCTCCACTGAGCTCAAACGCTCCGGTTTTGATGCAGCAGAGCCCGCCGCCATTGTCCGCCTCGAGCATGAAGTCGTCGCCATCGTTGAAGCTCTCTACCATCGTGCCCACGAGTACGCCAACCTCGCCAATCGCGCCGGGGCTGTCGCTACAGACTTGATGCTAGCGTGCAAGGATTACGAGTTGGATATGAAAGGTCTACGTGCACAGATTCGGAAGAGAAACACGGCGCCCCTCCCTACACTGATCTCCCCGCCCTCCCGCTCTCCTTCCCCAGAGCTCCTCTCTTCCGATGACGAGGACCCCTCCTCGTCCGTACCCTTCACCCTGCGTAATCTCCCAGCCTCATTCCCTGACCTCCCTCCAAAACACACGTACCACCAGACTCCCGTATCTCCGCCCAAAAAGGCGGCTTTGCCTTCACTTGAGAAGAAGCTCAAGACGGCGGGACTCGTACAAGAGTCCCTGCGTAACCTCATGCTCGCCACGGAGGATGCCTCGGGTCAGGGCCAGGAGGATGCCCAGCTACTAGGGCATATTGTGAATTGGCAAAGCAGTGCCCATCCGAGGAAGAGGTGGAGAGTAGGGTCCTAATGTAGCGTACGCCACTTCTTGTACTGTACACTACTCCGAATGACACGGTCTGTAAAAATGTTGTCATAAATCTTAATCTACCAATTTTCGAGACTCTGACCGGGTCGGCGAAATTTCGCGTAATGTTAATTTTACTAGTAATCAAACAATGTAAATACTCAACATTGCAAAAAAAAAAAAGAGAAACGCCTTTCCATATCTAAGGCACTACCAGGGTTCGAACCTGGGTTATGGGAAATTTGAATAAATCAAAATCCCATGTGCTGCCACTACACCATAGCGCCAATGCCGGCACTTTCAATATTTTATTTAACATAACTTTCTAACCTAATACAAAGCAGCATCCAAAGAATTATTCCTACTTTTCCTTATCCTTGCTTCTTGTACTCCTTCTCAAACCCTTCACACTAGTCGTAAGAACATCCGCTTCCTCATTCCGAGTCTTCTTCGATCGCCCCTTGGGCTTGGCCACAGCCTCAGTGTCTACATCCATTGTATCGTCGTTCAAATTAGCATCTTTCTTTCGTCTTCCTTTTGGTTTTGGTTTTGGTTGGAGAGTCGCAGTGTCAACGTCCATAGCATCGGACTCTATGGGAACTGGTTGAGATGCTGACGGCCCAGCTTCAGACGGTACTGGCGTTGGAACAGGGTCTGGCCATGTACGCGGCGCTGGATTCGGAACGGCCTGGTTTCCCCTCGTACGTGGATTCAGCGCCCATACAGTCAACACAGGCGCAGCTGAAGGAGCCACCGCAGAAACTGGGGAGCTAAGCGCATATGTAGGAGGCTGCTTCCAGACAAGATTGCTTTCTTCTTTTTCCTTTGCTTTACCTTTCTTCTGTGGTTCCGGAGGAGGAGGCGACTTGATCTTGTTATATCTCAGCCGACAATTCACATCGGTCCTCCCCCCGCCCATCTCGCTCGCGACGGTCTTCCACCGTCCAAGGGTCCCAAACTGGTCAACGAGCTCCACCAGCCGGCGATCGTCGTCTTCCGTCCATACACTGGCCGCTTTTTGCCGCTCGATCCACCGGTCCCGGCACTGGTCATTCGTCCGCCCTGGCATCGCGCTCGCCACATCCACCCAGCTTTGTCCGTACCCCGCCACTGCCAAATCCAGCCGCGCGTCCTCTGCCTCCGTCCAAGCGCTGCGGTCGAGATGCAGCCTAACGTATCGCGCTTCGCATTGTACGGCGTTGAGGTCGTTGGCAACGTATCGGGCAACTGACGAGGGTTAGCGGGCGAAGCACCACACAATGCAAGCATACCTAGACTCCAATTCGCTACACCATACTTTCCGACGGCCTCCTCGAGCCGGTTGTCGACGCGTTTCTTCCACGTATATTTGGGTCGCTGCCGGAGTTGGATGGCTTTGCGCATACAGTCAAGGGGAATGCGGTTTGTCTAGATACCAGGTTAGATTAAAGTGGAAGGATGGTAAACTGCTTACACCAAGATCCTTTGCGACTTGCACCCAGTCCACCTTGGTCTCTCGAGCGACTCCCTTTAGCTGCTCAATCTCTTGGTCCGTCCACTCGCTATGATTGATCCTAGGGTGCTTGTTTGCCATCCACTTGAATTTCACCTCGTCTGCCGTCCATTTCGCCGTAGACGCATCAGACACCTGAAAGTTGATTAGGATACGTACCATACCAGGATGTAAATCTACTTTTTCAGCAATGATAGTCCACTTGATACCTTCTGTGTTGTGAGCGATGTCGATATCCGATGTCCCACTAGAAGCGTCAGACAGAACAGGAGAAGTCCAGAGAAGAACGTACCGGTCCCTCGTTTCCAGTGCTTTCAGCCGCGTATTCTCATTCTTGACCCCCTCATCTAGCGCCGCGAGTTCTTTGGCCTTCACTGTCGCAGTGTTAGGGGAGTTAAAGGGTCATGAGAATGGAACGTACTAGGCCGTAGAGTCGTCCAAGTCAGATATCGCATCCTCTGCATCGACTTTTCGTAGAATGGCGATGACTCGAAGCATACATGAGACACAGCACGATATCATGGCAGAATACATACTGGATTGACTAGCTCACTCGATGCGACAGGCCCCGCAGGCTTCTTCGCACCTACAACCTGGACTTGGAGCCCCAGGTCCTCGTCCCCATCTTCCTTGTCGCGCTCCGTCGCTTTCTACATCTGTAAACAAAAACCCAGACAAAACAACAATGAAAACGTACGAGGAGTTTGTCGAGCTCATCAAGTTCTGCAGAGAGCGCATCAGCGTATTGGGTAAGAGCGTACTGGTGAGCTTTGGCTGTGTCGATAGCAGGTGTGAGGAGGTCGTGGATGAGCGAAGTGGTCATTGATGAGGAAGGAAGCCGGGGCCCGGGAACTTAATATGTCGCAAGTGTAATTTCAATTTTTTCTCTCTAACTACTAGTGCTATGAGAGTCAGTCTTTGCCGACCAAAGGTGAAGGAAGGATGAAAACTGTTTCCCAAACAGCCTCGTCGCCGGCCTTCCCATCCAGAAGAAAGCAATCATACACCCAACGCCTTTCACGCTCGTCAAGACAAATCATAATCTCCTTCAGCGTCGTGACACCCTTTTTCCACCTCTTCGTGAAAAGCGAACCCGATGTCTTCTCCCAATAGATACTCGCATACCTCAATGAAGGCCCAGCTTTGATCAGAATACTCCGCGTCAGTCCCTTTTTGTATGTAAATGGGTATGAGACAGACTAAAGCTGTACTGATGGGAACGGGAGGTCTGGGCAGAGTGGGAGCAATACTTGGATGAGTCATCGAGAGGGTAGTTGAGGGGGAGTACAGTTTCTTCGAGATTTCTGGAAACAAGCGGTAGTACATGGCGCTACGAAACGACGTTAGACAACAGAAACAGGCAATCCGATAGCCTGTCGCATCTTGGATTTGATTTGAAAAAATTCCAGTCCTTGAGGTAGCTTCTGCATAGGGGACGAACATGGACATGCTCGGGAAAAAATTACCGGCCCGCTTCCTTTTGCCCCTATTGAATAAGTCTACATCATGGTCAACACCGGAAATGATGTACCACATCAAAGGCTCCAGCCATCCATCTTACTCGAGAATGCTGTAGGTCAGGATGCAGTACATTGCAGCCTTGACGGTGCATTCATCTTCTATGAAAAAATGGACTCACAAATCCTCCTTCCGCCCTCAGAGCCGTGAAGTTACTGGCTCCGTCGTATTCTATCATGAGCTGCGACGAGATTGACGACAAGAAGAGGGCGCATACTGTCTCCAAAAGTGGTATGTATACCGACTACACACTCGCATTTGGGGATCGTCCAGACGACTTTGCGCGGCTCAAATCATTGCAACAGGGTACCAAGCCCGATCCTTCCCGCGTTCTTCTCATATCCAACACGATATTAGAAATATAACTTGTTTTACGTTCTCTCTGCCATACTCCGCTTGATGGTAAGGATAAGTATACCACAATGCTGGGCTCATTTTCGTCACTATGTAAGCAAGTTCTTCGCTTAGAGTGCAGGGCCAGTCGTCGGGCAGGCACTTGATATCAAACTGTTTCAATTCTAGATCGCGAAGCTCTTTCAAAATGGACCCCGGTGTGTCGCGTTAGATATTCGACCTGTGCCGTAGAGTTATCCGATAGTCGTGAGCACTGACAGATGTATCTAGAATTGCATACTGGCGGGATATTATCAGAGTCGCGGGTGTTAATGAGGTAAGATTGAGAATGTTTCAACAGACTTTTATGAGTAGGTGTCAGAATAGGCGTATATGAGTGTGCATGAATAACAGAAGCAGGATTCTAAATTTCATAATTCCAGATTGTTTCGTCGTCCTCATTATCGCTAGTGGCACTAGAGAGGAAAGAGCTGAGGATGTTGAATACGTGCGCGTTGAGGTTCTTCAGGCGCGAGAAGATGGTTTCCTGAGGATGGTACATGGTGGCGAGAAGCCAAGAAAGTGATGGAACGCGATCACATGTTATGTCCTCTAAGTAACTAATAATCGCGAGTTCTCACCAAAATCAATATCATGACGTATGCACATGTGCTCAGACATACCCATGTATCCGGAACTTTCCGCGGGTTTTTTGCTGGATTCACGGAGAAGACCAAAAAAGTGGGTTACATCTGTTGCAAAGGCGACGGGGAACTGCCAACGAGGCTCACATGTCCTCGGAAACGAAGCAGAAGGTAAATAAATCTATACGAGAACTTAACGGCGACTGACTGTCAAACTCGAAAGCCCATAACCCTTCCGGTTTGCCGTCGAGCACCGCGCAATGGACTGCTTGTATTTCAATAAATCACTCGAAATACATAATTCCAGTCTGAATATAAAGCATTGAGTTGGTTTAGACGTATTTTATGTGCCTACATGCGAGTGCTACCTGCAGTGTTTCTATGCAGTAGCCATACATGTTCCCGGGAAGGGAATCAAAAAGTGCCCACACGAGTCAACCGAGAAAAGAAACTGCATTCCTTACAACTTCTCGATGATTACAATAAACGTTTTCAGAACACGAGACTATCGGCCATGGAATGGACTCAACTCCAAGAAACGCACACGATGACCCATTATCCAGCCTTTTTTCCCCCATGCTCTACTTGTCGCCCTCGCAGAAATCGGTCGCCTAGGTAAAGCTACCGAAGGCAAGTTGCACGAAGAATCTCTGAATGACTAGACAAGAGCGAAGCAAAAGCTTCTGCTACGTAGTCAGGAGTGGCGGCATGATAATCGAACTCAGTAACAGTCCGTGGAGCGGTTTCAATAGGCTTGGCGGCATGGTAGCACCGTCCATGGTACGACTTCTATCGTTGTTCGTCGCCACAATTTGAAGATATTTCCTCTAGGGACGTAGGGTAGGAACCTGATACGGAGCGAGGATCGATGTGCGTCGTAATAATGACTGCCGTACATTAAAGAATCATTCAATCAATCACATTCATTATATACTGAAGTGTACCTTTATGAGGGAAGGATCTGACGGGTAAGCAAATAAGCAAACATCATTTAGTCGCTGTGCCGTATTTTCCGAGTGTAGCTACAAAGTGCCTTGTGCTTTGGATATCAAATTCCGGCATGAGAAGCAATATGGCCATCATGATTCGAAGGACATACAGTTGCGAATACATCTGCATGCTGCAAAGTCGAAGCGTCAGCTTCCACACTGCGCCTGCGATTTCGACTTGGTGACCATGCTCTTTATGATCCGAGGCTGCGACGAGCAACCAATGGAAGTGCTGAGAAACTGCGCATATGCTGGTTGTGGCCCACGTCGTTACCCGGGAAAAAGTCCGTGGGGGATTTTTTAAAGCCCCC